AGCTGGATTTGAGCCAAACTGGCGCAGTTCCCCAAGCCCTCCTGGGAGCAGAGAAGGGAAATGGTGCGACCATGCATGAGAGGGGACGTTTGCAGTGGCAAAAGCATCCCACTGGCTCAGAAAATTGCTGCAGAACCAGGCTTGAAATGAGTTGAAATTGCTGAATCCAAGCAGATCTCATATCCTGGGCAATTGCAATGCTGGCGTCAGCGCTCCAGCTTCCCTCCCGGGGCACCCAGGCAGGGCCTTGATGTGCTGTGTGTGGAGAGCGGGCTGCTGGGGATGTGGTGGGGGGCTGCCAAAAGGGGCTGCGGGCACAATGAGGGGCTTTGGCAGAGCTGTGCTCTGGGGCAGAAACAGCTGCAGTAGGGGCAGGAGCAGAGCAGGGGCAGCATGGTGGGTGTGCCATTGCCCCAGCTCTACCAGTGTCGCTCCGGTTTGTCCCCAGCTCCTGTGCCATATCTTCTGTCCAAGAGCATCCCTGTGCCTCCAGCTGCCCGGGGTCACTCAGAAGCAGCATTTCCCATTTAGGAGGCTGCTTTCCTTTATACCATAGCCTTGCCCATGCTAATTTGGTCTCTGGGCTGGGGTAGCTGGAGATCACTCTTAAGGTTACACACAGACTAGCATCCCTGCCAAGCCCAGAGTGGGAAGACTCCAGTGTCTTCCCTGTCCTCATCCCATCATACCCCAGTGATGACTGTTCTCAGGAGGGCCTCTATGCTGGAGTGCTCACTCCTGTGTGGTGTGCCCATGCCCAGGGCCTGCCCGCCAGCTGTGTGATGCAGAGGGGATGTGGGAGCAGAGCTGGGTGTCCCAGTGGGGACGTGGGAGAAGGGCTGGGTGTCCCAGTGGGGATGTGGGAGCAGGGCTGGGTGTCCCAGTGGGGATGTGGGAGCAGGGCTGGTGCCCTGGGCATACAGGAGCACTGGAGCTGCACATGCCGCAGCTCATTTCTCTTGCATGAAAACATTTGGCTGGAAGCTTAGCACGGCCTCTTGTCTCCTCGGAGCAATCAGGATTTGTCGCTGCTTGCAATGTTTAACGTCGTCTTCCAGAGGCTAAATACCATGGGGAGCCATGTAAGCCATGGAAATACCTGTGTGAGCTGGGATCAGCTGGAGGTTGGCACAATGGGCTGCCAGTGATGGGGATGGGGGACTGGGAGTGCATGGGGCTGGTCCTTGTGCTCACAAGGTGGGCTGTTGTGAGCCAGGGTGAGGATGCTGGGGGGCAGCATCCTTGTTCCCCTGGGGCTCCTGAAAGCAGGGGATCAGGACAGCGAGCCCCAGAGGAGTGGAGAGGACTTGGGGGCGGGGGGGGGGGGGGGGAGGGGGGGCGGGGGGGAAGCTGTGTGGGGTGGGGAGGAGGATACAAGACCCCCCAGTGATCTCTGGCTGGGATCTGCCTGCTGAGGTACAAGCAGCTATTCCTCTCAAGGTCAGCGTGTCTCCACAGCAGAGAGCAGGGAAAGGAGGAATTGTATTAAGAAATTCCCCCCCTAATGGGGTCTCCCCTGCACATGAGCATGGTGCAGGGATGCCAGTGTGCAGTGTCTGAGCAGGGAGACCCACACATGGTGTGGGAATCCTGCCATCCCAGCTGGGAAGCTGCAGAACCCATGCGTGCCTGGCAAGTGGAGCAGAGTGCCCTGGGGCCTGTGCCCCAAGTGCTGTCCTCAGATGGACATATGTACTCCAGCCCTGCAGGGCACTTTTCTGGGTCAGCTGCAGGGAGGAAATCATGTTCCCAGTGCAGGCAGGCTCTCCTCTGCCTTTCCTCCTCCTCCTCACGTGCTCCCTCTTACCTAATTGAGTTTGTCATGCTGGAAAGGCAAAGCCCTGCAGGACTGCGCTGTGCTCTCTCCAGCACGATTTCACAGCTGGCCTTGGCACCCTGGCAGCCGACAAGTGAGTAACTCAGATGCCCTCCCCATATGCCCACCTGCCCGGGGCTACAGTGGACAAGGCCACCAACACCGCTGGTCCTTCTTCCCCAGCCCTACCCAACACTGGTCCCTGTCCCCAAGCTGTTTGTCCCCACATGCCCCAGCCTCTGTACCGTGTCCCCATCCCTCCCCTGACTCCAGGGTGATTATGATACTGCCCAGAGATGTCTGAACCGACATGAGATGGAAGCGTTCAGAGAAATGACATTTCCTCCAGCCTGGGAAGCTCATCCTCCGTTTAAAAGAAAACTAATATAAAAGCTGCCCTGGTGTGCAAGGTGCTGATGGTATCAGACTAGCAGCCTCCGGCTCTCAGAGCCACAATAAATCTCAGCAAGAAGCCGAGCCAGCTCCAGCAGCCCCATGCAGACGTGCTAGCACAGTGTGGGGGGGCCGAGCCGTGCCCCGGGGATGGTGAGGGACACATGGGCTGAAAGGGACAGCTCAGTGTGGGCTGGGGTGACCCACGGGGCTGGTCCCGAGGGTGCAGAGTGCAGGGACTCCGCTGCCACGCTCCTGTTCACACCGGCACCAGCGGGACAGTGTCAGGACCGGTGCCAGCCCTGGGGTGTCGAGGGCAGCCCCACGGCCTCAGCTTCGTGTTCCCGGGGATCCCAGCTCTGCTCCAGGGAAACACTGCGGCCTCGCAAGAACATTTGCGCTTCCAGCCGAGCAAGCGGCAGCGCCGGCGTCCCGTGGCGGGTGGGATGGGGACCGTCCTTCCCCGGGACCCACCGTGCCTGGGGCCTCCTGTTCCGCGCTGCCCTGGGCCGCCGCTGCCGGGATGGCGGGCGGGGCCGGGATGCTGTCCTCACCCACCCTGCGCAGAACCCGAAGCACAGCTCGGCCAGCCCGGCCTAGGGGCTGCCCCGGTACCGGGCCGGGCGCAGGAAGCGGTGCCCGGCGGGACGAAAACGCGGTGCCCTGCTGCCCCCTGCCGGAGACAGGCCCCTCAGGGGAGCAACCTGCTCCGCGGGAAGCTGTCCTTGCCCGTGGCAGCGGGGTGGAATTAGATGAGCTTTAAGGTTTCTTCCAACCCAAACCATTCTGTGATTCTGTGATTCTATGCTAGCTTGGATCCTGGCTGGGCCCCCAGTATGGGTACAGAGTCACGCCTTGCTCAGGCAGCAAGGCCAGCAGCGTGGATGGTGCTGGAGTCACTGCTGAGGCGAGTTGGAGTTCCCTTCTTGCCAGTCCTCACTTCTGCTGCTGCCCTCGTCCTGCCCAGCTGCCATGAAGCAGCAGGGATGCTGCCCTTCGCAGGGGGCACAACAGCCCTAGCTCATCCTGGGGTTGCAGCGTCTGGGGACCCTCCGGGGGCCACCCCGGGCCTTGGCAGGGCTGGTGCCAGAGGCAGGGGGAGCGGCAGCAGTGGGAGATGAGAAGCTGCCGGGAGCGCGGTGCTGAGCTTTACAGGCACCCTGACAGGCTGCCGGGGCCCTGCCAGCCGTGCTGACAGCACGGTGCAGAGATACCCCCCCCCCCGCCCCTGCCGCACTCTGATCACAGCATCACTGTCACTTCAAAGCACCCGCCGGGCTCAGGTGGGCTCACATGCAGTTCCCGCCCCATGGCTCTGTGCCTCCTGACCCACACGACCCAGATCCACTGGGATCTTCAGATCCAGGGCAGGGGATACCAGTTTACAGCACCTGGGACCAAGGTACACATGTGGTCCCGAGCACTGCTGGCAGGAGTCCATAGCCCCTCAGGCCTGGCACTGTCCTGCCCCTGTGGGGCAGGGCTCCCAGCCCCAGAGAAGGCACAGCTGGGGATCCCGCGGGGAAGCAGGGCCAGGGCACAGGACAGTGGAGGTGAGCTGGAGAGCAGCATTTCTATGCACAGTTCTCACACAGTGTCACTGGAACAGGGAATCACCACCCAGACACAAGTGCCCATCATGCTGGGGCACTGCGGGCTGCCAGGTCCCTCTGCCCAGGGTAACACAACACCCCCAGCCCCCTTTCCTGTCCCAGCCCTGCTCAGGGAGGAATTTTCCATTCCCGAATGGAGGTTGGGTGAAGGCGTGTTTGTAGCAGCCCCCTCCTCTCCCCCCCATCACCCGTCACTGGAGCAGCTCCGGAAGGCGCCTGCCACGTTTGTCTCTGGGTAAGTGCAGAGCAAAAGCCTCCCTGGAGGGAGAGCTCCCTGGAGGGGCCCTGGGTAGCCTCGGGAGCAGCCTGCACCCCACTTTCCAGAGGAGCTACCCTGACTGCAGCCATGCCACTGCCCCTTGCCTGTTGCCAGGATGGGGAAGCCCTGACAGCGGCTCAGGATGGAGGCGTTGCCCAGTTCGCCGTCGGCATCCTGCGAGCCACCAGGATCCCCGGACTGCACTACATGTGCACCCGGCCACAGTCCCGCCTGCGCCGCCTGCTCTGGAGCCTGGCCTTCCTGGCCTCTGCCGGGCTGCTGGCCGCCGGCGCCACCGACTGCCTGCACCACCTCTTCTCGCGCCCCGTGCACACCCGGGCACGCCTCACCCGAGCCCCCCAGCTCCGCTTCCCGGCTGTCACCCTCTGCAACCCCAACCGGGCACGCTTCCTGCACCTCACCAAGCCCGATCTCTACTCGGTGGGGCAGTGGCTGGGGCTGGCCTGGGAGAACCACTCGCTGGTGGCCGAGATGCTGGCCGTGCTGGGGGAGGACCGGCGTGCATGGCTGACACGTCTTGCCAACTACTCACGCTTCTTGCCACCTCGCCGCTCCGAGCACACCATGCAGAGCTTCTTCCACCGCCTGGGCCACCAGATCGAGGACATGCTGGTAGACTGCCGCTTTCAGGGAGAGCACTGCGGCCCCCAGCACTTTGCCCCTGTGAGTTCCCACCTGGCAGGGGCAGGACAGCCAGGCTGCCCCATGGGCGCTAGGAGAGAAGCTTCACATCCCCCAGCAAGGGTAAAGGGGTGGCAGCATGGGAGGGGGAGGCTTAGATGAGCCTTTCCAAACTTCCTTTCTAGCACTGCCAAAGGATTGCAAAGGGGTTCCTGGACCTCATCCTGCTTGCAGAACACCCTGCCTGCTCCCTCACCACCCCCTTCTCCATCCCCAGGTCTACACACGGTATGGTAAATGCTACACATTCAACGGGGACCGGAGGAACCCACGGGTGACCCGCCAAGGTGGCATGGGCAACGGGCTGGAGATCATGCTGGACATCCAGCAGGAAGAGTACCTGCCCATCTGGAGAGAGACGAGTGAGTGGGGCAGCTGTGCAGGCAGAGCTGGGAGGGAGGGCTGCTGGGCAAGCAGGGCACGCTGGTGGGGGTAATGAGACAAAAAGGCACCAGAGCTGTGCTGGGGGTGTGCATGCATGCAGCCCCTCTGTCCTTCTCCTGCAGATGAGACGTCATTTGAAGCTGGCATCCGGGTCCAGATTCACAGCCAGGATGAGCCACCCTACATCCATCAACTGGGCTTTGGTGTCTCGCCCGGCTTCCAGACCTTTGTGTCCTGCCAGGAGCAGCGGGTAAGGAAGGATACCCACAGCCCAGGGAGGTGTCTGCGGGCACCCAGCCCAGTGCAGCCCTGCAGCGATGCCCCTCTCACCCTGGCAGCTCACCTACCTGCCGCAGCCATGGGGGAACTGCCGGGCCAGTGTGCAGGGGGAGCAGACGCTGCCTGGCTACGACACATACAGCATTGCTGCCTGCCGCCTGCAGTGTGAGAAGGAGGCCGTCGTGCGGAGCTGCCACTGCCGCATGGTCCACATGCCAGGTGAGGGGTGTGCATGATGGCATGGGGACACCTGCCCAGGGCTCGCTGGCCTGTTACAGCCTACACCGAATGATCACCCCTGCCCCATCCCTCTCCACCCAGAGACCACCCCGTCCTCTCCACATGCTGGGTCAGCCCGTCCTACCCTCCTTACACCCCAGGTTAGCCTCTGTCTGCCTTTGTACCCAGGGGCCACTCCTGCCCCAGCCAATCTGCACCCAAGGGCCACCCATCCCATCCCCTCTGCATTCAAGGGCCACCTCTTCCCCACTGCCTCCAGGGGAGTGCATCAAGGGTGGGGGGCAGAAGTGGGCCAGACTGCCACCCCCCTAACCAGCTGCTTCTCTGCAGGCAATGAGTCCATATGCTCCCCCAACGTGTACATCGAGTGTGCTGACCACACGCTGGGTAGGTGAGGTGGCAAGCGGGCGGATGGGGGCCAGCTGGGTGCCCCCATAGAGGTGGCTGGGGGGATGCGACCCTGCCAATGGGTGCATGCCCCCAGATGCGGCGGTGGAGGACAGCCAGGAGCGCTGCAGCTGCCCCACGCCATGCAACCTGACCCGCTATGGCAAGGAGATCTCCATGGTGCGCATCCCCAACAAGGGCTCAGCGCGCTACCTCGCCCGCAAGTACAACAAGAATGAGACCTACATCCGGTGAGTTGCTGGTGCTGGGGTGTGCTGCAGGGTGGGCAGGGAGCTGGGGACCTGGGGAGCCCCCACCCCACTCCTGCCAGCATGCATGGAGTGAGTCCTGCCACACATGGTTCTTGCAGCATCCTCTGCCCAGGGATGGCTGCCACTAGAGTATCTCCCTGACACGTCCCTAACCTCCCAGCCCTCCTGATAGCACCTCCCCACCCCATGGTTCCTGCTGGCCTGGGACATACCCCTTCTGTGTCCTCACCACACCATCCTGAATAACTGGAAGCACTTAAGAGCTGGAGGGCTGGGGGACAGGGGAGGTTCGGGGGCAGGTGTGGTGGGAGAGTGACCAGCCCTCCTTGCTGACCATTATGTTGCCCCCACAGGGAGAACTTTCTGGTGCTGGACATCTTCTTTGAGGCACTCAACTATGAGGCCATTGAGCAGAAGAAAGCCTACGACCTTGCTGGGCTTCTCGGTGACTCCCCCAACTTACTCACGGGACCCTGGGGTGGGGAGCTCTGGGTCCGAACCCCAGAAGACGTGGGGATAGTCAGAGAGGGACCACAGAGGGCAGGAGCTGGCCGCAGATTGCCTGAAGGATGGCATGCTGCTGGCTGTCTCCTGTCCTGCATATGTCTTGCTCCTTCTGTTCTGCCATCCCTGCCCCTCTGATCACACTGTCCCTCTCCTTCTGGCAGCCCTGGCACTGCCCACATCCCCACTGGCCCACCCCAGGCTCCCAGTGTGTCTTGGTGACCATCTCCTTCTCATCCCCAGGGGACATCGGGGGACAGATGGGCCTGTTCATTGGTGCCAGCATCCTCACCATCCTGGAGATCCTGGACTATGTCTATGAGGTGCGCCAAACCTTCTGGGCTGTGTGTCAGAAGTGGGATTGGGTGAGGTACAGCACAGCTGCTGGGCTCCCTGTGGAGGGAGTGCAGTGTATGGCCCCCCCCAGGGGCCTATGACAGCCCGCAAACTGGGGAATGCCCAGCAGGAGGCACTGGGAAATCCTCCAGTATCCCTGTGTGTCCTGAGGACGGGGAGAGTGGAGGGCAGAGGTGCTGTCCCCACTGTCAGCCCCAAGTCCCCCATGCAAGGAGGGGAGCGGGTGACAGTCGGTGCAGGCTGGGGTGCCCACACGTGGGGTGCCACCTGTGTGTGGGTCCAAGGCTGACCCTTTGTCTGCATTCAGGTGATCCGGGACAGGGTGAGCCGAGTCCTGCGACGCTCCAAGCCACCCCTGAAGAAGCCCTCAGGCAGCATTGCCACACTGGGACTGGAGGAGCTCAAGGACCAGGTATCCCCATGGGTCTGGGCTGCCGTGGGTGCTGCAAGGGCAGGGCCTGGGCAGTGTCTGTCCTCAGCCTAGGTGGAAGGGATGTTATCCCAGGAGCAAGGGACAGTGCTGCTTCATGTTTGGTGTCCTCAGGCTGCAGAGCCAGGGCAGCCCCTGAGTGGCAGGGAGCTGGGTGCCCCCCAGGGTCTCTTGGGAGTCTCCTGGGGACAGGCTTTGCTGGGTGTGGGTGTCTGGGGGAGCAGGGTGCATGGGATCTTTGCACACCCCACTGACTGCCATCCCTGCAGAGCCCCTGTGAGACGCTGGGCCGACACGTGGAGGGTGCCTACAACACGGGCATCCTGCCCAACCACCACCACCGCCACCACTACCCTCACCAGGGCATCTTCGAGGACTTCGCCTGCTAGGCCAGCTCGGGACGGGGGGGGCAGACCCCTGGACCCTCCTCCCCACCTCCTGCATGGAGAGGGACTGCAGCAGCGGGTGCAGCAAGTGCAGGCCCCTGCCTCCCCCACCCCACTGCCAGGACTGGCCCTTGCTGTTCACCCCCGGCGATGCTGCCAGAGCTGCTGAGGCACTGGCACTGGAGTGAACCCCCCCAGCCCTTTTGCCTGTCCCCTCCACTTGCCCCCAGCACACAGGTCCAGCCCCGCCTCAAGCACATGGCATGGAGGGGAATGGGCACACTGGGACAGATTGGGAGAGCAGTGGGGTGTAGGGCAGAGGCAGTGCAGAGCATTCTGGGGTAAGCTGTGGTTCCTGCAGGACCCTCCAAGCCCTTCCCATCTGGCCCCTCCGGGGTGGGAGTCTCTGCCCTGCGTGGTCTACCCCAGGAGAGAGACGTACCTGAAGCAGCTTTCCCCCTGCCCAGGGACCACACAATTCCCCCCTCTCTTCCTGCATCAGGGCAGAGCGGCATTGCAGGGCATGTCTCTGAGCAGCACAGTCCCCCCCGGCCAGCCCAGGGACACCCCACCTGCAGCCACACCTGCACGGCACCACCACTGTGACACCCTCAAACACCTGCCCGCCCTCCCCAACTTCCTGCAGCCTGCCACAGCTGCAGCCCTCGTTGCAGTTCCCATCCAGACCCCTGCACTGTGACTGCCACCTCCCCACCCCACCCCCCAGTGTTGGCCCCTGGTAACCTCCAGTCATTGCAGCACTGCAAACCTACTGCCCACCCCTCTCCTGCCCCAGCCCACTGTACCCCCAGCCCACCCGTCCTCTCCTCACCCAGGTATTGGCCAAAGCGGCTCATCCCTTGATGCAGCCACCAGGCCCACCCAGGTGATGGGGGGGGGGGGGGTCCTGCCCTTGCTCCCCTGCCTGTCGCTCCTCTCTTGCACTGTGCACGTACCCCCTGCCACTTTCCCACCCCCAGGTGCTGAGCACCCGCTGTGCCTCCCCAAGACTGTACACGGTTAGGAGGGTGCCCCGTGCCCAGCACTGCCCAGACAGCCCCAGCCCAACCCACTGGCCAGAGCCTTGGCCAGGACCAGCACCTGCAGCTCCTGCCTGCCCAGAAATGGCAGGACCCATGGCAGGACCCACAACGCTCCCTCTGTCCTGTTGGACATTGCCTCTTCCCCCTCCACTGTAGCAGACACCAGCGCAGGACAAACTGCCCCAAAATATCTCAGGAGGGGGGGCAGGCTGGCAAAGCCCCCCTCAATACACATACACAGCATAGAGGGGGACCCCAGGGCAGGAATTTGGGACCTCTGGGGGAAGCTGGGTTTGAGCCAGGCTTCCCCCGGCCCTGCCAGTTTGGTAGCCATCCCCAGTGCCCGCAGATGGAACACGGCCATGCCATGCTGTGGCCAAAGCCATACACGCAGAAGCTGTTGTCCTTGCATCCTCTAATGCCCCACATGTGGAAGATGCAGGACAAGGACCTGGTGATGTGCCTAGCAGCTCTGGTTCTGGGTACGCACAGCCCAACATTCCCCCCCAGATATGAATCCATTTGGAAACATGTTCCCCATCAGTGCAAACAGCTGGTTGTGTTGTGTCCCATGTCCCCCTGCATGGGGAGAAAAACAGCAAGCCTTCTGACAAGGCAGGCACAGTGGTGCTCTCTGGAAACCCTCTCCAGAGCACCCTGTGTCAGCTCCCCACAAGGTGCTCCCACATCTGCACATAGGAGTGTCCCAAGAGGGGTACCATGCATTAACCCACGGATGTGCCACGACCATGCCAGGCAGCCCTACACCAAGGTGTCTTGCAGAGGGCAGGGGGGTGCAGGATGTGGCTGCCTTCCTGTCAGCGGGAGCAGTAAGCCCTGAGCGGGAAGCACGGGCACGGGCACCACAGCAGGAGGGCCGACGCGAATGTCCTCGTGCTGGTGAATGTGAGAGATGTGCACCACTGTTTTGTACATGTACAAATGCTCCCTAATAAAGAGGCACAAGTAGATCTGGAGCTGCCTGTGAGGGCTGTGGGGGCAGAGAGATGGGGCAGCTGGTCTCACCTCAGGAGAAGGTGGTGGTGGGACCCACAGAGCACTTTACAGCCCTGCACTCATGTGCTGGGCATGGTGAGAGCCGGCATACCCAGTCACCCAAAGGTGAACACGTCTGCCTGCAGAAAGCCTTGACACTGCCAGCTGAGGCTGGCAGAAAAGCTGTTTCAGGACAGGTCCTGAGAGCCCTGTAGTGGTGACCTAGCGAAGACCTGATGTGAAGTTATGTTGATCTGTTTCTCTCGGCACCTCTGTTCTTTCATTCAGCAACTTCCTGCTGGCACCTAGAGATGACACCTCCTGTAGGGTCTCCCACCACCTCCAAACAGGATGGGCAGGTGAAGTGACACCAGCATCTCCCCCTGCCTGTGTTCTGCCTGATGTCCCAGTTCTGAAGGTGCTCAGCTGAGGAGGACCAGCAGCATGACCTAGATTTAGCACCCCAGGGCCAGCCCCAAACCCCAGCACTGTGGCCCCTGAGTGCCCCTTCCCACACTGTGCCCATCCAAAGGCTATCGGAGAGGGACGCTGCCACCCAGGGCTCACTGGGCTGCAAAGCTATCTCAGCCCAGCCCAGCACTGCTTGAATCACCTGTAATGAGCCACATGAAGTAGTCTGGAGATAATTAGAAGGGGATCCACTATAATGAAACAGGCCCTTAATTTTAACAAGTGCAGCCCTCTGAACAGCTGCCAGGCACCTGACCACAGCAGGACCGGCTGTGCTGGCGACGGCTCCTGTCACCGTGGAGGTGACAACCCCAGCAGACTTAGTTCCTGCGAGATGCTGTGCCAGCACCAGGGAGGGGGAACCAGGATGGAGCAGCCAGCAAGGATCCCTTCTGCCCACAGGACGGACACCTCCCTGGGGACTTCCCACTGTGCCTCCACTACTAAACACCACAATTACAGTTGTTCCCAGGAGAAAGCTGTGTTTCAAAGAAAACAAACCATCCAGCTTGGGAGTGGAGGGGCTGGAAGTGAGCTCTGGAGTGCAACAGGACATGATACCTCACTGCTGTCACCTCCTCCCCAAGTGCTTCCTGCACATGATGCTAGGGGTGACAGGCAGCAACACCTGGAGTGATACACAAAGGAGTGACCCTCAGCATCTCCTGATGACCTGAAGGTGCCAAGCTCACTGCTTTGCTCCTTGCCATTTCCACAGCCACCTTGCTGGGAAAATGGACTGGTGCCCGTCAGTGAGGCCAAGCAGGGGACACACAGCCCTCATTTTCCAGTGCTCAGCTCCTGACAGCAGGCAAGCAGGCTGGAAAAAACAAAGAGGCAATTAAAATCAAAATCCAACCGAGCTGCCTGCTTCTCCCCCCAGCCCCAGGCCTTTGTGCTCCTGCAGTCTGACTGTGCTGGGGCTGTGTATCCCCAGAAGAGACGTCCACAGGCATAGCTGGGTGTGCTCACATCCCCATGCAGGGAAAGCCCCGTGGGAAAGCACATGCTGGCAGCAACCCTGCCTGCAAATACATCTACTGGCTCTTTCCCTCTTTACCAAAAAGCCCTGATTTCCCTGAACTTGGCTAGAAAAGCCAAAGCCGCTCACACTTTCTGGACGGGCTCGGCACTGTCTTAGGCTGTCACCCGAGGCACTGGGTGCAGGCAAAGCCCCCCATCTGCCTGCCCTTTCCTCCTTAAGCAGAGCAGCTTCTCTTGCCTTAGCTTGCAGCTGGAGTTGTGTCCTGCTCTGCGGCTGGCAGAGCTGCTCCTGCGGGACAGGCAGCGAGGCACCGCTGGCCCCTGCCCAATGAAAGCCCAGTGTCGAAAGGGCACTGCGCTTCCCCCGGCTCTGCGGCCCTCTCCTGGCACGGCCGTGCTTCCTTCATCCTCCCAAAGGTCAGTTACGGAGATTGCCAGGGCTCAAGTAACTCTGCCGCGGGGTTTAGTGCAGCCAGAACTGACCCAAGGAGGGCTAGAGAAGCAGGTTTTGCCTTCCTCACTTGCACTGCTGCATTTGCAGAGAGCCACACGCATGACTGCGCAGAGGAACAGCTTGAGAGATGGGGCAGAACAGCACAGCAACAGCTTGGGTTTTCCCCAGTTTAAGTCTTTTTGCTTGACATGGTGCAGGGAGGAGAGGGCAGCAGGCACCCGCTGAGCTCCAGCACACCCAGCCTGCCCCTTTTGTACTTCAGGGTGCTTGCTCTGAGCTGGGCCTTCACACCCTCTTCCAAAAATCCCACGTTGTATGGCAGTATTGGTCAGACCTAACCAAGGATTGCAGAACATCCTTGTCTGCTCAGCCACCCCTGTTAGTACCCTATCTCTTTCAACACTGTCCTGGTCCAGTGCCCTGCCTGTGCCTGCCAGCCCTGCGCAAGCAGGAGGAGGGCACAGCATGATTGTGCCCATGGTCCCATCATCACAGGTCTCTGCCATTGCCCAGTGAGCCCCTATACTTCACCCAGGCACAGGAAGGTTGTTCTGAGCCCTAGCCAAGCAGGTCAGCCTGCTCCTATCACCAAACCTCTTCCCAAAGGTTTTCACATCCTTCCCCTGAGTTTTGGCATTGCAGATAACCTGGCAAACACCAAAGCGGCTTCAAACCCTGCCAGCTCCTTTTAAAAGGCAGCAATAATGGTGCTGCAAGTGCCACAAGCACTGTCATTTGCTCCTGTGTACATTGGAGGGGGGGATGTTAAGTATGCAAATGTTCTAACTCAGCCTGGGCAAACAGCAATAAGGAGGCAAAAGCAACTCCATCTAGACCATCTTGCCACAATTAAATACAATTCTGGGTTTCTTTTTGCAGCCAACTTGATTTGAAGCTGGTTTGTTTTATTATCATTTGGATACTCTTCTAATGTCTAATCACATCCAAATCCTAGGCCTGCTGTTCAGAGGAGAAATGTATCTGCAATCCACCTGCATCTGCCTCTCTCCCTCTGTCCCAGATTCGCATTTAAAGGGAATTAAGGATGCATTTGGGGGAGATCAAAAATAGAAATACTTGGAGCAAGCTAACGATTATCACCTGAAATATAATAAAATTATATTTAGATGTACATGCTCCTACTCAATGGATATGAAGACTGGAGCAGGAAATCTATGAATGAGGTGTCTTCGGGGAAGGTATGCCCCACAGCCCAGGGGCTTTCCATGAATTTCACCGAGCACTAACAGCCTTGATAACTAACAGCAAGTAGGTTCAGTTAATCTTCTTGGGGACGTCTCTTTGATACGTGTGTTTCTCAAACAAGTAAAATGTGACAACCAAAGGGCTGGAAGGAAGAACATGCAGAGCCATGAAAACCATGCCTGGAGCAGGCAGCATGGGCAAGGACACACTCCCCATCCTTGTAATGCAAATAGTAGTGGTAGGTGGTGAAACAGTGTGGGGCAGGACCATGGTGCTCTGCCTGACCCAGAACTGGAAACCACAAGATGCTGAGAAGCCCTGAGATCCAAAAATGGTGAAGCCAATGCACAAAGGTTAGGTCCAACCCTAACAATTCAACATAGTGCTCAGATGTGGTTTCTAGTCCAAGAGCTTCCTTCATAGCTGAACTCAAATGCTGGAGGGCAGAGCACACTCTACTTGGGCACCCAACCCCAATGGAGGATGCCTGCTCTGACACAGGCCAGTCATCCCCCATTACCCATATGCAACCCACAAAGGCTGTTATGGTGACAGCCCATGTGGGAGGACACACAACTGCCTTAGCCTATCACTGTGGTGCTTTTCCACCTGCAGCTGGGGCTGAGGAGGGCTGGAAACCTGGTCAGTGGGACCATGAATTTATGGCACCAGAAAGACACAGCATTGCCAAGAGCTCAGCACATGGGCACTAGGGCTTCCCATGGCAAGGGGCTCAGCATCCTGCTGCAGTGACTGGTAGCAGGTAATGACAGCCTCAGGGACTTCGGACATCAGAGGAGGTGCAGGATTCCTGCTGTGAGCTCCCAGGGGTTCAAGCTGTCTGCTTGACCTAGTGCCTGCCAGCCTGGACATAAGCAGAAGGGCTTCCCCTGGCCTCACTAAGTAAAGGCAGTTATGTCCCATCTCAGGCAGAGAATGCTGCAGGTGGCTTGTGGAAAGCAGCATCCCTGCATGAAAGTGGTCTGGCCAGCTGCAGCCACATTTTGTATAAGCAGTCAGGACCAAACACCACACAGCAGACACCCAGAAGAGCTCTAGGGAAGAATCAGCTGGACCAAATCATTGATCTCTCTGTTTTATTAGTGTAAATGCATCCCTCCCCCCTCCTCTCCCCACTATTAAATACAAACCAGGAGGAGACAGTGGCTCCTCAGTCGCTTTCTCCTTAGGAGATGCGCAGCCAAACCCTCTGGTGTGCCCACCAGTGCCGGGCACTGAGTTCCCCGACCCCACGGGCAGCCCCATGGTGGGGAGGGCTCCCACCTCTGTCGGGAAGCTCTTGTCTGAGAGCTGCGACCTCCGACGTCCTATTGACATTGCGAAGGCCAAAACGGCCTGGGTCATGGTTCCCATGGGGAGCAGCTCACAGTATGTGAATACAGCAGGATCCCCTCTGGCATCCCCTGCACCCACTGGCCCTGGGTGCCAAGTACTCCCCACCCTGACCAGCTGGGAGTGCTCCGGCTTGTTGCCAAGTGGCAAAACCCCAAGACCAATCTCCTTATTGCTCTTTTGGGGTGGGATGTGCCCCATCCCACTGTCCAAGCCTGTGGCAGGTGCAGAGACATGTCCCTCCCTGCACTACAAGGCTGATGCTCTGAGGAAGCAAAGGGCACAGCCCTGTCCGAGGACACTGGTGAAACCATGAGGGATCACCCCATCCCCACAGCAGTCATGGTCCTGCAGCAGGGGGGCCTTAGGATCTGTGTGACCCTGTTGCCTGGGGACAGCAAGGGACAGGGCAGCCCCTCGCCACCCCACTGAGCAGCAGGGGCAGGACAGAGGGATGGGGCTGGTGGACAGCAGCTCTGGGGTGAGAAGCCAGGCATGACAACTCACAGCTCA